AAATCCATACAAATTTAAATTGACATGAAGGTGAGTAAATGGCATTATTTTTGGATTAACTATTCCTTTAACACGCTCTCTTTTTATCTATAGATGTGACTATAAGAGTATCTTTTAAAATAAACTCATTCCACAGCCTGATCCTGGTATTTCTGGATGGTGCCATCCCGAGTGAAGAAAGGAGGGGCCGGTGCATCTGACGCCCCGTGGTTGACGAGCACCAGGGCGCCAGGCGAAAGCTTGTTAGACAAACTCTGACAACAAGACGCTGCCCTTGAAAATCAATTATAAACACAGCATCTGCATCTGTTTCTGCTCGCAGTTTTGTGGGGCTGTCTGTCTTGGATTTCGGTTTTATCCTCCCTCTCTTTGGGCGGTTCAAACGGCCATCCCTGAAGGATTAGTGTGAGTTTTTAAACCCAAAGGGACAGAGTGTGTAAATTATGAATGGGTGAGCAAGAGTGATGACAGGTCATGGCACCCGCTGCTTATTGGGATGAGCAGTTTATGGGAGCAGTTGGGGTGTTTTTCATTGGATCTGCCTCCTGTTCCCAACAAGAAAACAATCATAAAAAATGACTTTGACTGGTTAAAAAGGGGTGCAGACAAGTTTGCGCAGAGGAGTTATCGGTTAAGGTCCTCTAATGGCCCTTTAGGGCTCGGCTTACACAACCTGGGGCCCATGGTTACTCACAATTGTTTTAGCATGCCACCATTCCGTTCCACCAACAAATACCAAGTCCTGTGCTGACTAACAAAAAAGAGTAAGTTTAGTTCAAAACTACATAATCGAAATGTTAAAGTAACCCAGGGAAGGCCTACCTAATTTCTATCTACAGTAATTGTTCACAAATCTTTCAAACTCGTATGACTATTTTTGAGTCGATGGAGGACAAAAGGAATAATTTGTGTTAATTCAAATATGATGTTTTAAGACATATCAAGTCTGACATCAGTGACATAAATTTTTTTCTTGTGCCTCATCATTGGTGTGACATATCTTGACATACTATACATTATTTGTGTCAATGTGACTACTTTTCTATGTATGTAATGTATAGCCTATTTTATAATGGTTTATGCAGGGCCGTTATTGTTAGCTAAAACTGAAACTATTAAAAATCTATTTTGTTTATTTAAATACAGCTGAAATAAAATACAAAATAAATAATAAATACAAGATTTAAAAAAAATGAAAACTAAAATCAAAATTATAAAAAAAATAAGTAAAGGTTAATTCAACATAATAATAGCATATAATAGTACAATAACCATTATATATATGGTATGAAGTGGTAAAAAAAAAAAAATGTAATTTTACAAGACAATTTTGCAAGAAGCCTTTTTCCTTTCTTTCTCCCTTCCCAGCTTTTCATGCGTATGGAAAACCAGGCAAGGCTCTTGTGGAATTAAGGTAAGATGACTTTGTGGAGATTCAGCTTCTCTTATTGCTTGTATTATTTACTTATATTCTCTCTCTGTTTTCAGCATGATTGGCCTCATGTTGGGGACATGCATTGCTTTCTATGTCGTCATCGCAGATCTGGGGTCCAACTTCTTTGCTCAGCTGCTTGGGCTGGAGGTAAAATATAAGCTTTTAGGTTTTCATGTGAATAAAATTGTTAAATCCTTTTGTTACTCTAACACATTTCTTCCAAATCAATTAATGATAAGCAGTTCACAGAACTGATCGTTGCCCTTGTTCATAAACCTTCTGAAATGATAAAATCAAAGGCCATTATCTTAAAAAAAAAAAAAAACAGTGCTGAGCTGTGTGTCATGTAACCATAACAAAATTACTTCATACACTTTATATAACTTTAGTGTAGATGAGATCACAGTTTCTGTGTGAAAATGAACTTTTTATCACACCTGCCAGTGACAGGCGAATTGAGAAATTTGACTGGTTATAAATATTTCTTGCTGGCCACAAATCTGTATTTTACTTTTTTTTTTTTTATATAATAATTGACATAAAATGGGGATTATTTAGCTTTTTTTTTTTTCATTTTTAGCTGTATAATTCTGTCAAACAACATAGCTCATTGTGTCACTTGCAGCATCTAATGCAAGATGAGAGATCCTTTTGTTAAACGAGACCAATCACAAAAACATGACTTGTCATAATAGGGATTTTGTTTCTTGTATTCTTGTTTTGGTTGCTTAGTCGTTACTGAATATTTAACATGTTTTCTGGACAATACAGAATTTGAGCTGAAAATCTACTAAAGATGTATGGTACAAAAAAAAAACCCCGGCTCATGCTAATCTCTCTTTCTTGTTTTTTCTTTTTCTTTCTTTCTCTCTTACTTTTTTATTTTGGTAATTTTTGGTAATGCTATTGTTACTGCTATTGTTATTGATGCTGTGCATTAGCAAATAGTTGTAGGCATATATATTTGCTCCGGCATACACACAAGTCGCTTTATAAATAAAATCTTGAGCACTATTTTGCATCATATTGTATATCTGTTCCATGAATGCATGACTCTGACAAAAACCCTTCAGTACATTTCAGTCACAGTCCCTTTGTTCATCCGTCTTCTTTTCTTTCTCCTTGTCCTGAAAGAATACTTACAGTCTATCTCAAGAAGTTACATTCTGACATGATGAAAGACCGCCACAGTGGATGAGACCTCTGTCTGTGTGCTCTGAAAAGCGCAGTGTGTTAAGCAGATCCATCCAATCAGGCTGCATTGTTCTGAAGCCCTTCAGGCCATCTGCCTCTCAGGTTGGTCAAAGCTGAAAACCTTGTGCTGAGCAGGATGTGGAGGCATGTCTAGCTTTATGACCTCTCTATATCTATAGTCTTTACCATATGGAGCATCTAATTCAATTATCATACACCTCTATATGACAATAGTCATTGTATCTATTCTGAAGGCTGAGGGCAGCACTTAGAAGAAGTCTAGAAGAACAAAGTGTATGAGAATTCTTGATTAGCATCCTTGGTTACAAATGACACTTGAGGACTCAGTGAGAACCATTACTACGTTTACCATATTGTCTTTGTGAAGACAATTCACAGTCAACTCGAGTTTAACGTATTGAGCAAATAACATAATTTTTTTTTTTTACATAAATTCTGCAATCTCTTCTTATAAACGATTAATAGTTCTTGCTGATAATGTGCAAGTGTTCAATCAGATTTGTCACTATGGACATTATTATAATAAACGAACAATTTCCTGATCTTATTTTCTCATCCTCATTTTTCTGTTCAATGCATTGTCAACAAGCACACAAATGATGTTATTCTTGGGGAATCAGATTACATTAATTGCTGCAAATCGTGGAGCAAAACAACAATGAACCCAGCTGAATTGAGGCTTTTCTGTACTTCATCAGAAAAGGCCAAATAAGTTTAGCACAGCGATATTTCTCTGATATTTTTGAATACTGTATTATTTTATTTATAATAAAAAGAACATGAAAAGCTTTTCTTTTATTCATTTTTCTTACATTTAATTACGAGCTATCAGTGAATAATTTAGACTTATTTTAAGTAATTTAAAAGTTATTTCTTTAAAGACATACAAGACTTGACTAAAACTTTTGAACAATTCCATCATTACTGCACAACAATAATAATAAAGCTTATTTATTTATTTATTTATTTAAAGTTTTTGTCCTAACCAGCCATAAAATTCAGCAGGACATTTGTCTGTCATTTGGTTATGATTTTTGCAGCATCATGCTTTGTAGCCCATCCACAGTGAAGTCTAATTATTTCAAAATCCTGCAAATAACTACAAATTAAACATCAAATAAACTTTTTAGGACACAGGTTTAAATATTAGGTCAATATAGGCCTATGTATTGTAAGTACACACATGCACAAGATATCAATCTCATATAAAAAATAAAAATAAAAAATAGTGCACACACACAAAGAGTCTATACTATTGTAAAGTGCTGCAGGCTCATAGTCTTTTCTTGTAGTCTGATTTCAAGTGAGACAAAACCTACCAACACAATAGCGTGCACCTCAAATCAAACCACTCTAAAAAAAAGTTCACAGGGTCAAAGCTGCAGTCCCGTCTTGTTGCACAACTCCTGTCTGTGGGAGCTGAATAGAGCTCGTGATCTGTGGCTGTTAGAACATACCGCTGGGCATTGCTGAGTCTGACATTCATCAGAACTGCATCTGGATAGGGGGGCGAGATTCGATCATGTAATCTGCTAGGAGAGGATGGGAGGGCTGGCCAGGAAGCGGCCATAATGAATGAGATGAATCAGGGAAATGGGTTTGGATGGCGGGTTTCAACCACCAGGCCTTTAATACTGGAGGAAGATATGCAGGATCATAAGGAATGTCTATTTACTGATAAAATGGAAATTGATCTTGATCTCACATTTCTCTTCTTAGGAGATCTTTAATAGACAATATGAACAGTATCTCACAAAGTAGGCTGAATCATCTCTTTGTATAATGGGTTATCAGACGTTGCAAACTACTATATCAGTATTAGGAAATTATGAATCACGTACGAGACGTGCAATAAGATAGAAGACCATTGCAGGTCTTGGTAGCCCATCCACAGTAATGATATGTTGTATATCTATTGTATTTTTATACTGATACATTTTTCAAGTAATGTTTTCTTATTTTTCAAGTTGTTTCAGACACACAGAAGAGTCTTGACTAAAATAAAGCTTTTGAACATTTCCATCGTTATTGCACAATAAGTTAAGAATTAAAACGATTAGAATAAGAATCTATCAAATCAGACAAGGCCAGCTGCTGGCAAATAACTTATAATAATTCTCACATTGTTGTTGTTCACATGTCTAACACATATTTATTATTTTTAATGCGTTCATTTATACCTTTCACTTCACTGGGTTTATTTTTATTTTTATTATTTATAACAGCTCAGATAGTTTTCTAGTATTGTCAAATGTCTGTAACTCAAGACTCGCACTGTACTTTGCTTCGTAAGCGTGCTCACGTGTTACAGCAGCCAGCAGGAAACACGTCACAGGAAACACTTCGCTTCCGAGAGCGAGGTCAAGATGGCGCGGTGCACCAGGTGAAGGGGACTCAGCGGCAGCGGGTCGTTCGCTTGTAGAACATGTACAAAACACCATGTAGTAGACTGACGGGAGTCTGGAAATGCCTTCCGCGCGATGGTATTAATAACTATATTATGTTAATGAAGCGTATGTGAGCTTTCGCTCTTTCCGGGGTGGTATTTTAAGAGAATGCTAGGCGGTTAGCCTAGCCACTGAAGCGCTACTGCAGCAGTATGACCTTACAATATCAACACAGTTTACGTGACATTAACCTATTTTTCAAAGTGGTCCCAGTAACTACGTGCACTGACATAGATATACAAGTATTTTTCTGCTGTGTTCTGCATATTTTGCTTGCGGCAAATCATCATTTGACTTGCTTTGCTCACTATTTGAAATATATAAAAGCTTTGTGTGTGTGTGTTTGTGTGTGTGTGTGCAGAGAGAGAATATTATGTGCTGAAATTGAAATTTGTATAATTGAAAAACTGCTGTATTGTCTCCAGTGCTGCCAACTGCTTTCAATTGAAAGTAGCTAAAACTGGTAGCTAAATGTCACTAGATGACATCACAATGGCAAATTCACTGATCTATATAAAGATGAACGTAGATATTTGGGCAAGATGAGAACTTAGATAAGGTTTGTACAAGAAGTTGCTATATTTGTCCCTAAACTTTTGAAAAAAGTCTCAAAAGGGGCGGGGAAGTCACTAAATCTAGCTACAAAGTAGCTAAATTGGCAACACTGATTGTCTCCTTGTGAGTGTTGCATGTGTAATTTGACATGATGCAATGTGTTGTTTGGCATGACGTCACTGGGAGGTTGTCATACCTCTAAGTAAATTTAGTTGATTTGACATGGAATTGATACATATAAAGCATATACTATGCAATTGATAATTTTAATAGGAACGTTTCACGTTTTATAAAATTAAATGGTCTGACTCCATATTTTTCTCACATTAAAAATCACTCCAAAAGGTATTGTTATACACAGTTGTAAAGGCAAAAAGTCAATTAAAGCTTACAACATTGTGAGCAGGTGTGATATTTTTGCATGAAGTGGCAACACATTTGTATTGCGTATTTTATATATTGTGTTTTTAATGTTATTGTATTATTTTATTTTTTTAAATTATGCATTTTTACTTTTGAATTAATATTTATCATTGTATTTTTTGCTGTTGTCATGTTCTTGTATGTGCCATTGACTTAAACAATTATCAAGTATTGTCTTCTCTTGTTGAAGGTTTGCTTGGTGTCAGTGTGCAGCAGAAGCTCATTGCAAATGCATCTAGGAGTCACATGAGCGTCAGGAGTCTGATTCAACTCTGCAGGAAAAATCAAGCAGAATGGATCACGTTCCAGCATCTCTGCTTCCTGAAGAGACAGGTATAGGCTGTGAAGTGCTGCCTTTATGGGTGCATAAACAGTAATACATTGACCAAGGCAATTCAGCTCTAAAATGATCTGTTTATAGACATTATTGATATCTGTAATTATTATCTATTTCTATATAATATTATTTATTTTTCTTTTAAATTGTTGCAAAATAAATTAGGCATATGCAAATTCCATGTAACATATATATATATATATATATATATATATAAATAAATAAATAAATAATCAGACAAATAAATAATCAGTCAAATAAATATTCAGCATTTTAACCATATTTCTTCCATCTTGCCACAGTATGTGAAGAGCAGCAGCAGTCTCTGCCAGAGAGCGAGAGCCAAGCAGGAGCCTGTTGCCTCTGCGCTGGATGATCGAGATGATTCGGTGGTCAGTCAGGTTCAGCAGATCCCAGCCTTAAAGCCTGAACCAGGTACTGTGGTGCCGACATGTGACCAGATTGAACCAGAAGCAGCCAGGGCAGCCCGCTTGGAGGCCCGGCAGTGGAAGGAGTTGAAAGTTGAATACAGTGATTTACCAGGGATTTACGCACGGCTCTCCAAAATTAAATTAACAGGTATGATATGTTTTATGTATTTTGTACGAATGAAAGTCATATTGCGATATAAGATACTGTTAGTTGAACATGAACTTGTAGTTGCTTATGCAGTAATCAAAGCTAAACTGCTGATCATGAAGCTCATGGAAAGTTAAATGTGATACTTAATCTAAAAAAGCACTGACTTGTCTAGTGATTGATTATTAAGTTTAATTGCTTTCTTATGGTTAATAATGTAATCAGTTTAAAAAATAGTCTTAGCCCATTAAGTACTTTGGCAGTTTTCATCCTTTTAAATTTTCTTTAGCTTTTTCTGAAAGGACAATATTTTATGTGGTGAGCATTCCACTTACATGTCCTGCATAATTAACTTGCATAATATGCTGGAAGTTAGATTTCTGACAAATTTTAGAGATATGATAGCATGACAATTTATCAGTGTCTAATAGCCTAATGAGAACACTCTTGAATACCAGACACTCTTCTTTTGTTGTTGTTGTTGAATTGATGCATTTTTTTTTTTTACAATATGTTAAAACTCCATTGTATTTAATATGAAATGCTGCCAAAAGTTTTTTTTGTGTAATTTATGATCAGTTATTTGATCATTTTTAGTTATTTGTTCATTATTTTTTAATGTACTTTTGTCATTACATTTTTCTAAAAACTGAAGTTGCCTTTTGAACTAAATCAATAAGCTACTTTGTAACCTCACTCTTTCTTTCTCTCTGTAGCTCTTGTGGTTACTACAGCAGCTGCCAGCTATGCCATGGCTCCAGTGCCCTTTGACCCTGTCACGTTTTTGATGGCTTCGTTCGGAACGTTTCTCTCCTCCTGTACAGCCAATTCCATCAATCAGGTCAGCCACCCCATGCACATTCATAAAATAACTTCACACTCAGCAGAACATGACTGGACCAAACACATCATGAAGCCGAGTGATCTGACATCCAGCTGGAGCAAGCTAGCAAGTGTTAGACCACTTCATCGTGCGTGTGTGCGTGCGTGTGTGTGTGTGTATTAAAAGCTGTGCATGTCTGATGTTGTGTACTTTTAGATCTGAAATTCATTGTACATTTGGATACTGTGACTAAGTAATCAAAGCAAACTGATTAATTACCACGAACTTGGACATTTTGAGATTACTGGCATCTGCTATGACACATTAACATAAATATTTATATATTTATAATATAATACTTAATGTATGTGTGGGTGTGTGTGTATATTAACATAATTTTCCTGCCTAATTCTCATTATTGTAACATTATTTTTATTACTGTAATATATAATTTATTGATGTAATATTTATCTATCCATCTATATATATATATATATATATATATATATATATATATTGTATATTTACACACATACGTATATTATTTGTACTATCTGCACAACTCTGTAGACATTGGATTGATTTGAATAACTTTAATGTACTTGAATTGTGCACTAGGGTTGTGATGGTGAGGACATTTTCCCACCGGTTAATCGACATGTGACCACACCGATAATACCGGTATCACCGTGGAGGCGGGGGCGTTTCCTCTTTTCCTCGCTTTCCTTTGCTTTTAAATAGCTAATTTAGCCTATATGTAAAACATAGGACTTTTATTAACAAAACGAATAAAAATACACCATGCTATATGGCAGGCTATGCCTAATATAAAATAACAAATAACTTACATAAAGTTTAAATAGGTAGCCTATACAA